GCTTTGATCTTTAACCATCACTCCAAGACACTTTGGATGTTACAAATTATCACTGAAGTTCCATGTGAATAACACTCCCCTTGGAAAATGACACTATTAACTGGCAAATACACAAACAAAACCACTTTGATTGCCATCACCGGAGACACAGTTGAAATGGCAACCAGCCATTCCTGACACAGATATTAAAAAATGATAGGAATAGGGGCAACTGAGTCCCCTGGCAGGTACTGTGCCCCAATTCTTCAGGTCAAATTCACTCTAATAAAAGGATTGGCCCACCAGTGAAATCTTGAACAGCCCTCTCTCAAAGGCACAATTACCCTCACCACCTTTTAGAGTAAGCTTTTACAAATGAAAACTTCAGCCTTCTGAAAGCAAGTTAAAATAGTCATCGCAGTTGACATTAAGGCAAAGTTCACATTTGGAAATTCTTACTGGAGTCCTGGGTAAAGCATAGGCTTTGGAATCAGACAGACCTCTCTTGAAATCCCTTCTTCCCACTATTTATTAGGTTTGTGACCTTGGGAAGTTCCTTCGCTATTCTGATTTCTTTATGGAATTGGAATAATGAATCTTATTGGTCTGATATCAGGAGTACAGAAGATAACATATGGCAAGTCTGGCGCATCATAAATGGTGGCTATTTTAGTTAGGAAAAGAGCACAAGATCTGATCTATGTTATTTTCTTTCTTGCCTTCCTCATCCTCCGAGTATTCAGACCCTGCCTCAAGTAACTATTTTGGTAACTCTGAGAGCCACTCAAGAGACTCTGCAGTATTAAAATCAATTGCATGCTCCTTATGTCCAAGGATACCTTACCAATTTCACTAAATAATAGTTCCCCAAAGAGCCACAATTATGCTTGGATTGCCTCAGTTTCCTTAAATTTGGAGAATCTGAAGATGACAACTTGACCTTTGATACCCGAGAAATCCTATTAATTCTTAAATTCCTTATAATTTGCCAGATCTTCCTTAGATACTACTCATAGGTGTCCAGGGCAGACAGAGGAAATTATTAGTCAAGTGTAGAATCTATTTTGATTTTGTTGGCAGGTCACACAAATACAAAATATTTTCCTCATAAAGAATAATACATGGAGAACATCTTTTTATATTACTTACTTTTTATCCTCAAATGGATAATTTTTACATAACTGCTACATTTATTTGCCATTGCTTCATCACCTTCCCATTTAGTTTAAAGGTAACAGCACAAGATGATTTTCCTCTTCCTGATACCCTCAATTCCACACCATCTAATATTTTACTAAGCAAGAAGTGCTGAATTACTGTAGCCTTTGTAAGAGCACTGTCAGTGTTCTGAACCCTGTTTAATTAAAAGAAGATCTTTGCTGAAATGAAACCAAGGAATGTTAAGCCCTTTCAAGTTTGATGATACAGAAGTAACATAATTTCATAATCCTCCCTGCTCCTTCAGTTCTCCTCTTGATTCATAAAGATGGATTATACCAGTGTATTTTGTCCTCATTAAAAAATACAAACAAAAAAAACTGTTCTATTCAATGGCTAATCCTCATAGCAGTCTGTCTAGATGCTGTAATTCATGACTTTCTACTTCTACATAAAGGCACAGGAGTCACTCAAGTCACCAGCCATCTAGGCAGGTGGCAGCCTGCCAGTCTTCCCAGGTGCAGTGTTGGATAAAAAATTATATCATTCTATTGAGTTCTAACAGTGTGCTAGACATTGTGCAATGGAAAGGAGTACAGAACAGGTGCAACAATTACTGCCTTTCAGGGTTCATAGCTGAAGACCAACAAAATGTCTGTTGCTGGTGTTTCATTCAGTTATTTTTATTTAGAGTTTTCTGAGTGATTAGGAACTGGCCATTTGATAAACTCTGGACTGTGGATTACTAGAGACTGCTTGTTTTCTCATTTCTAGTCGATCAGTTTACATTATCTGAAAAGAGAGTTTTGAGGTAAGAAATTGAGGAACATACTTTTTTGCCTGGTATTAAACAGCAGGAGGCTTACTTGATGGACCAGAAGTGTATAAATGTAGGAAGAGAAGAAGTTTACACAGCTGGTTGGGAGATGGAGCTGAACTGGTTTTGTAGTATTCTGAGGCTTTTCTGTAACTCCCTGAGGAATCCTACAAGACTGAGTTTTGTTTAAGACAGAAGGGGAAAGCCAAAGACCATAAACATCCTTTGGGACAGTAGAAATGCACCAACGTATATACACAAGATTAAGAAAAGAAAGGAACTGACTAGAAAGCTAAAGGAGCCTATGGAACAAAAGAGAAAGGAAATGGTAGAAAAATAGGATTAAAGTCTGAAATAATTTGCAGGATCCTGTTGAGGGTTGGCCATTCTAATGGTAGCACTGTCTCATCGTAGTAAGTCAACTTTCCTGGAAACACGGCAGCCTTGCTTGCTCCCTCGCTCTTCCAGATTCAATGCTTCTTGACTGGTTGTGGGTGATGTTATGGCATGCTGCCCCTTCATTCCCACAGCTAGGGTTCCAACTGAATTATTGCCCTGCTGAGCAATTAAAGGGAGCCTCCTTACTCAAGGTCACACTCTTGGGGGGCTGGAGGGGGAAGACCTACATGCACTAACTGGTCACTGTGAGGCATGAAGGGATACTTCTGAAGAGCCACTCCAATGTCAGAGACCTCTGTAGGACTGGCTGAGCACTTTGCTGCAACCACATCTCAGTTAGACTTCCTCTGCCCCATCCCGCCTCCTTCACTCCTCTCTCTCCCTACAGGTTTGATCCTGAGGATACACCCCAGAAAACTCTGTACTCAAATCTCCAACTGTGAGCCTGCTCCCCAGGAAAATTTTGCTTTTTTTAACAGCTACACTCCTATTTTCTGAACATAAAGGCCTCATGTCAATTTTTAATGTTCAAAGAATTTCAAATTAAATATCACTATTAGAATAAAAAACAATTATGATATTGAATATACTTATTCAAACAACGTATGCACCTTCACATCTTCTAGCCTGTTGAAAACCACTTTAATATGGATTTAGGACTATTTCCCTTCTGTCTACTCAAGGGCTATCATTGTAATTTGTGATATAATTCTAATTTTTCTTAACTTGTTTGTTTTTCTGTCTGCTTTACTCCACCTTCTGGATCAATCTGGAGCCTCTATTTATGTTAATCTCCTTGCATAGTTATCATCTTCCTAAAGCATTTATTTGGTGAACTGGATGGAACCTATTTATGAATATGTCAGAGATCCCTAGCTAGGCTGTAAACTTTGGTTGGTTGAGGTTGTCTTAGCTTTTTTAAATACTTCACAGGTAGTTCAAATTTTATTCTGTGCACTGCTCCTCATTCTCAGATAAATATGTGGGAGCACATAGATTCACCCTTCTCTTTTTCCCATCTTCCTTTCTTCCTCTCACTCAACAAATGTTTACTTGGCATTTGCTATGAGGTAGGCACTGTGCTAGGCTCAGGGATTCTACAGTAAACACAGTTCCTGTTTTTCTAGAGTCTTGCATTCAGATATTTGTCATTAAGTTAATCATTATGCAAATAATATTTAATTACAGTTACGTGTTGTGAGGAAAAATTAGACAGGGATACAAAACACATGATTTAAGTAATCTTCCTTAAACTAGCATTTAAGTCCACTGTAAAATAATATGTTCTGGCAGAGGCATCTCTGTCACTTTGGCCAAAGACTGACACATCAAAAGGCCATCAAGCAACCTCTAAGAGAGTGCTTTGTTTTTACCTATGCCAGCAAAGGCCTTCAAACACTTCTGGCTTAAAAGCCAAAGTCAAGAACTTATATGGTCACTTGATGTATTAGTGGTTATACACACACACACATACACACATTATAAACATGAAATATAATTCATATATGCCATAATTTATTCTAATAACCTTCAGAGAAATAATGAGAGGTGCAAGAGACATATCTCTTTACAAGAAATAATCTTTACAAGTAGAGTGATTAACTAACTGGTGTTGATATTTCCTTCAGTACTATATTAATTGGTCTTGAAGCTACTCTTGGCAAATTAGAGATTTGAAGAGGGGGACTAAAATAATCATGATTGTCAATTATCACGGCTGACATTTATTGATTCCTTGCTTGTGCGTCAGGTGTTGCTGAGTACTCTGTAATGTTATCTTCCTCTACAGCTGGGACTATCATGGTCCCTTTACAGGTGGGGAAACTGAGGTTTAGAGAGAGAAAGTAGTTTGCTCCAAGTCATACATCTAGTAAGTGGCAAAGCTAAAATCCTAATCCAAATGTTTCTGGTGCTGAAGTCTGGGCGAAGCGCTTCACTGCGCCCCGGAGAATATGCAGTAACTGCTTTAGGTTGCTGCCTGGAGCTGTACAGCTGGGCAGCTGGGCGCTTCCTAGAGCCGTGTGATCCAGTGAACCTGACCACCTTGGCACAGCTCAAAAACAGATGCCCAGCTTCATTTCCACAGCTACCACACCAGAGTCTCTGGGGTGGTTTGTACCCGGGAATGTGAGCTTTTCAAAAATCTCCATTAGTGTTTCCGACTTTTGCCCCAGTTATGAATTCTTCCGCTAGAGTATATGTATTCATGGTGTTTTACCTAATCTACTGTCAAGTGGCTACTGTGCTACAACCATAAAACTGTAATCAGATTTTTAATAAGGCATAACCACAGTGGAAGTCTTTTTAAGGACAATTTTGCTCATTTGTTGATCTCATAGTAACTTCCAATGCATTAACACAATTAATATGAGACACTCAAGCCCCTTACAGCCCACTGGACTCCAGGCGTGACCGCAGCTACGCTGCCTTCAGTTTGCCCTGACGAGCGGCTGACAGAGGAGGAGACTCAAGGTATCTGGGACATTTTGTGAAGTGTTTTGAAGCCATAAGGAGAGGTGCTGGGTTTCAGGCACTAGGCAGGGTGAAGGCATGGTGGATTCTTAAGCGAGGGGCGGCACGGCCAAAGCTGGCAAGAGGAAGACAGAACTGACCAAAGTGCAAAGGTAAGCCCAGGACGCAGGGGAAAGAGGGAGGAGAAAGCTGTGGCGGTCCAAACAGGGCTTACCCCCTGTGAACGCGCCAGACGAGAGCCCACTTGGCACCCACCGGCGGGATGACTGCTCCTGGCCGTGGAAGGGGACGTGGCACCTGAGGAGAGCCTGAAGGAAGGATTTTGGCCTCTGGACGTGGGAAGGCAGCCAGTCCAGCCAGAGAGACTGGTAAGAGCAGAGGTACACAGGCTGGAAAGCAAGGAGCAAGTTAGGGATATGGGGTCTGGTCCAATTTGCCTAAAGAATAGGAAACTTGAAGAGAAAGTATGGAAGAATAGGGCCAAACAACTAAAATCATAGAATTTTAGAGCTAAGAGGGACTTGAGCTTTAAATTAATCTACTATTTCAATTTGCTAATGCAGACACTAGACAGAAAGTGATACTGAACAACAATGAGTCGGAGGCCAAGCTGACCCTGGGAACTGTCTCCAGGATCCTGGGGTTGTCGGGGTACAGCTGGGCTGATGCAAGCTGCCCGTGGAGGCCTTGTGTGCCGGCCAGTGGCGCTGGAGACTTCCAGGCGCTGGGTGTTACTGAAGCTTTCTGAGCAGGGAGGCGGCATGATCATTATGAAATTTGGGACGATTTATTTGGCAGCAGTGCACGCGTGAGATGGGAGTGGGGTAAGGACAACAACTGGAAGGCTGGCTGTGTGTGTGCCAGACTTAGACAGTAGGCTTTATTAGCCCCCTTTTACAAATAAGGAGGCTGAGCTTTGGACGGTGGCCGTATCCAGGCCTGGTGGAGTCCAAAACGGGTATGTGTTGAGGCTGGAACTGTGGAGCGCTCAATCCGCTTAGGGTGGGAGAAGGGGATGGTCGGCAGGGCCTAATGCTGCCAAATGGCCCAGGAAGAAGGAAGGCTGAGAAAAGACCATAGCGATTTGGCAGCAGGAGGTCAGTGTGGTGTTTGAGAGAGGGATTTCATTTGAATGGTGGGGGTGGCAGGCTGATTTCAAAAGGAATGAAGAGTGTGTGGGTGGTAATGAGAGGGAGGCAGGGAAGTAGCCTCTTTCAAGAATTTTGGCAGTAAGAGGAAGGGGAAAGAAGGGAAAACAGCTTGAGGAAGTAGCTGAAGAGAAGGAGGAATCCCTCATTCCACCCACAGAAAATATTTATTTAATATGTGTATGTGTCAGGTACTATGCTAGGTGGTGGGGAACCTGATGGTAAATAGACAAAAGCGGGAGAAGTAGAGGATGCTAGGGTGATGACTATCTTCAAATGGAAATCCATTTATTGGGTAACATGCCAGGTTACCAAATTTAGTACAGTACAGACTGATACTAAACTTTTAGATATCAAACTCATAGAAGAAAATAAACTGCGATTGTCTTCATCTTTGTGTCCTCCCATAGCACACCGGCAATGATAGTGTCTTGAGTGAATAAACCATGGGTCCCTGGAGATAAAAATGGAAATCTAAGATGGGGGGTGGGTGGGCATGTATCCCTGGAAAAGAGGTAGTCGTGTCCTTTTGGAGACTTGCGGTGAGGGGATGTGGGGTTGGGGAAGGCACAGAGGTCACCCGAAGCCTGGAGGGAGATAAAGCTAAACTGGATTCCAGATGGAGTGTTTACAGCTAGAAAAGGTACTAGAGAGATAATGGCAGATGCTCTGGGAATGAGAACATACAAGGGACAGTTCCTGGGGGAGATCTGTCCTGACCCTGTCTTCAGCAGAGGTGATGATGGCTGAAGGCCATCAGGAGAGAGTGGGATTGCATTTCAAGATACAGCAGAGTTAACAGTGCTGACTAGAAACCGCTCTTTCATTTATTCTTATTTTTGGGGTGGGGAAACACGTGGAGAAGGAAGAAACTCAGGTGGGTTTTACAACTGGAAATGGAGTCTTAAGCAGGTTGGACTGGAAGCCACAGTGTAACGTAGGAAGAAGACAGAGCGGGCTGAGGCTGGTTACGGAGGGCACCCTCCATCTAATCCCAGTTCCACTTTTCCACTGGCTCGTGGACGTGCAATGCTGGCACATTACACATGGCTGGGAATATTAATCTGCAAGCCAAGCATTCTTGCTGTATATAAAGCTATTCCAGGTTAATATGTGCACTAAGATGGGCACTGGATGGTTTCTCTCTTTCAGTAGATGACAACCCAGATCAGCAAAGGGTAAATGGTCTCCCTCAGTCATATCATGAAGCAACTACAAGGAAAGATTAAAACCTGGGGCCTCAGAGGCTTGGTTCACTATGGAGGGCCCAGCCACTTGCAGAGAAGCTGTATAAAGACCAGGGCCTTTATGTGGCAGGCATTGGTCATGATTAGAACTGCACTTAGTGACTTTCTCCATACTGAACTCTTAGTTTCTTCCCATGAGTTCTTGAGGCCACCAGGAGCTTTCTGTATTCTTTCTCTTCAAAGCTCTCATGTCCAGTTGCTGCAGCCTCAGATTCAGCCACTCTGAAATTCTCCTTTCCTGTGCTTCTGCTGATGGAGTTCTTGCACTCACCCATATGGTGAAATTCTCCCCATCCCTTAAAAGCAGTGCAGACATGACCCTCAACTCCAGGTGGAGCGAATGGTTTCCTTCTCTACTTCCACAGAACTTTATACTGACCTTTATTAATAATAATAGCTAACCTTTCCTTGTATTTACTGTTCTAAGTGCCTAACAAGTTATACCCTCAGAAACAACCCTATAAGAAACATTTCAGATGAGGAAACTGAAGCCACAAAGGAGTTGAATAATTTGCCCAAGGTAATAAGTGCCAGGGCCAGGATTCCAACAGTGTCTGACTCCAGAATGAGGCTCTTAACCACTGTGCTGATTTGATTTACTGTCCTATTTTCCTCAACGAAACTGTGAACTTCCAAGAGCAGAAGCTACTCCTTAATTCATATTGATTTCTTAAGCTTAGTCTACAACCTGCCAAGTAAGTGCCAAGTAAATGTGAGGTGCATCATTGAAAGAATGAATAAATGTGCACACTTAGATCTGACCAGCTCCCCCTTGTGAACAAAAATTGTAAGTTTACTGTGAATGAGAGAAAGACAGAGGGAAAATCTTACCTTCTACTTCTTGACTCCCATCCCCGTATAATCCAGGGAACATACAGGCCCACACAACATGATTACTATTTCCTCTTTTCAGGTTATTTTGGGGAGCAAATAAATAAGTTCATAATTATGTTTCAGAAGAACAGAAAATGAATTCAGTTATGCCCAGTAAAGCTACAAGCTAGCAAAGCAGAAGATACAACTCCTGAGGCCAGAACACAACCGCAGAGTCCCTGGTCATACAGATGTTTGGAATGCGTTTCTATGACAGGGCTCCAAGGAGTGACAGGTCAGCTCAGAGGAGGAGTCTGCTGTCGCAGGGACTGTGTTACACAAGGTGCTGGAGGGTGCTTGGCATCATGCTGGCTGTTAAAGTTGCACAGAGGAGAATTCAGTCAGTGCGCAGACTTAGGCAGCAAAGTCTGTCTAGAATGTTCTTTCCCTCTCCTTCTTCTGGCCAATTCCAACTTATCCTCTAAGTTTCTGAGTAAATATCACTTCCTAATGGGAGTCTGCCTTCCCAAGACCAGGCAGGTTCCTTTTAGTGTAATTCCCTTCTCCATAAGAGCCCTTTCATAATCTTAATGGTACACACTAAGATAAGCATTTGCTTTATGTCTGTCTCCTCTGCAAAGGCAGGGATCACGGCCATCTCCTGCACTGCTATATACCCATAGTATCTAACACAAAGTAAGCAACCGATAAGCATTAATTTTATGAATGAATGAATGAATGAAGGAATATGCAGAAACATGAAGTTGTCGCTCTTAAAGACCTCCTCCACAGCCACAGATTGAATTCTTATTCCTAATAGCTGCCATCTTTTGCAGACTTTATGACAATTAGCAACGAAGTGAAAATGGATTTATTTGTGTTTTTAAACACTGCTTTTACACTAATAACTTTTAAAACAACGATAAGGAGTTAAAATATTTGTTGACTGCAGCTTTCCAACAAGAGGAGAAAAACATGAGAAAGACAAATAAAATTATTTTGAATAACAGTAAAAGCAAGGTAGAATAGTGGTCTTTTTTCCTAACTTCCTTTAGAATTATTCTGCAACAATAGTTTCTATATAACCTTGAAATCTGGTGAGCTCCAATCTCACAGTGATCCTGTTAAAAGATTCACTTATTTAATAAAACACATTGAGTCTGACATGAAATGTACACTTTGGTGTCTCAGAACACTAGCAAAGGAGATTAGTAGCCAAAAAAGCAATTAAGTTTACAGTAGGGTTACAGATACTGTATCTAGTACAACAGCTTGGAAAAGGAAGTAATGCAAAGGTCATATCCACAAGAAAAAAAGTAACTTTAGATAGAAATTTTTTTGAGGAAACAAAATTTCACATCCCCAAATCTTTCCTTCTCATCTAATAACTACATGTGTTTGGGTGTTTAGAAAACAAAACAAAACTGGGAGGAGGATGCAGCATTACTGAAGTTGGTAACTGGCACAAACACTGGTGAACCAGGCTGTGAAATATAAGCATCTGGAGAGTCAGGTTCCTGATTACCTTTTTCAATTTGATCTCAGACCCAGTTTGTAGAATCCCAAACTGGCTGTGCCTGTGTGTTTTAGAGGAGCAGTGGTGTAGGATTCAAACAAACACATCCAACTATCCTAAGAGTTTAAATATAACAACTTAAATGAAGAGCTTCTGGGAAAACCAACAATATTTAGGACTAGACAAAAATCGTACCTTTTCACATGAAGGTAAAGGTGTCTTTACAAAAGAACAGGGCTAGATGAGCAGACACCCGTTATAAATCACCCCTTGATAATTCTGTTTCGTTACATAGCATTGTAGATCCCAGGATTTACAATGGTTGCACACAGCCCATGAAACTATCTTTAGCGGGGTTCCTCTCCTGTGTCAGTATTCTATTTTGAACTAACAATGCTCTCAGATGAGCCGAAAAGATGTATTTAGCTCCCACTGTTACAATTTCTGATCCTCTTTACTTTAGCTCTTTTGAAATAACTTGAAAGCTTTGGCTTGCTAATTACTTTTATCCAGCCCATAGAAAAATTAGTTTATCTTCCTGATCAAAGCAAATTAGGCAGATCATGGCTGATTAGAATGCAACAGTAAAATCACCATACTTTCTTGTCCATCCCCTTTCTCTCAGAAATAGGGCCTGTGTCAAA